TCAGATCCCGAGTGTAGCCGAATGCTTTCCTATGGGGATTTTATTTCACACTGGACTCTAGCGTCAAATAAGTATAATTAACTCAGTGTAAATCGCAGAAGCGGCCTCTAGTGGCTGGATTAACCCCGCAGTGTAAACATAGCATTTTCTCTCAAAACTGCTAAGTTTTCAGCTGCAGAATTAAAACTAGGGGGACCTGGCACCCAGACCACTTCATTAAGCTGAAGTGGTCTGGGTGCCTGTAGTGGTCCTTTAAGTTTACTGAAGACGTTTCGGTGTGTAAATCATGCCCCTGCAGTTTAGGAGTTAAAACACTTTGTTTTTGCAGCTCTTGCCACATCTCCCCTTGCCGTGACACACATAGCCTCAATGAAAAAGAGGTTTCGTTTTTACAGCATAGTTGTTTACTTTAAAGATTTTTAGCTCTTACTGGGGCGTTGCTTGGAGGCAAAAAGTCCAGGGGCTTTTATTATTAATTATTTAATAACCCAGGTATTTCTGATTTGGAACTGTTCACGTCAATAAAGAAAATGGCTACTGTGCACAATGTATGTTGCAAAGTTGCATTAGAATGCAATGACATGACAATGATGCAGTCTGCTATGAAGATATAAAACGCATCTCTTCATATTATTAATGTTATTAATTCATCCATGAAGAGATGAGGTTTATATTGTCATGGTAGACTGCATATAATGAATTTTACATTGTCATGGCAATCTATTGCAGCTTGCGCAGCAGCCATTTACTTTGTTGGGATAATGGGATAACAGCCATTTTCTTTATTGGTGTGAACAGTTTCAAACCAGAAATATCTGGGGTATTGAATAATGACGGGTTTCAACCGACAGATTCAGTGACAGGTTTCTATAATAAAGACCATCATCCATTTTTAACTCTCCAAGTCATTAACATTGTCCCACACCTACATCAATTGTTGAAGTGAGTGTGGACTAAGTGGGTCGGGGTGAATAATGCTAGTGTGACTGAACGACTTGGAGAGTTAAAAATGGATAATGAGCATTAATAAAAAACAAAAAACAAAACAGTGGTGGTGAGATTTATGTTTTGAAAATGCCCATCATCCATTTTTAACCACTTCAAGTCATTTAGTCAGATTACTGTGTCGTCGTCCCCCTGCCCCCCCCCCGTTTTATATTGATGAGAAATATTTAGTGATAGAGAAAAAAGAGCCATAAGAGTGGGGGAGAGAGAAACTGTCAATCAAAAAAAAAAAAAGAGAACCATCAATCAAATGGCCGTGGTTGTCATGATCATATCATTCCGTTCCTGCAGCTTTGTCAGCTGTACATTTCCAGTCTTGCCACATCGCAATGGTTCTCTATTGCACTGAGAAATGGTTGCTGAACAAGTTAGCGGACTAACACCATCTACTGAATCGTTAATGGCATTGCAGTTTCTATGCTATTCTCTCGTGGTTTTTGTTGTCGGACACCGGTTTTTCTGGTGGGACTGTAGACTTTTACCAACTAGTGAGTCGCATTTCAGGGTAAAAATGAAAAATCTATGATTCAGCCTTTTGAGTGAATTGGCTGCTAATTTTTTCACCAGAAAAAAAAAACGGCATCTCCACTTATGAACACTAATATTTACCACATAAGGGAATTTGCACAAAGTTTTAACCCCTTAAGGACACAACTTCTGGAATAAAAGGGAATCATGACGGAATATTTCAGTCATGTTGTGTTCTTAAGGGGTTAAGCTGCAGAAGAGGAACAGAGTCGCACTCCCAAACACGCCGACAGCTGTATAGGAACTACAATATGTCCGAGATTTACCTGTGAAATCTTATTCAATGGAGAACAGTCCACAGGTAAATCCCAGAAGAATCTATTCATTTGGACGTGGATAAAAAGCCATTTGATTCTGACAAACCGTCCGTAGAAATAGGAACCAATAAAAGTTGTTTTAAACATTCTCTTCTGTATTAACCCTTTATATTAACATGATATAACCCGCACAATAACAGTGCGTCTCTTGCATAGGATTTAATGACACTGCAATGACCACTTTAAAATTCATCCGATTGAAAAAAATATATATAAATACATCTTTAGAGTTTCAGTCTCTCATTCTATCCTTAGGAGACATAAACATTACAGGAATAACTAAAATATATTCTGGTAAAAGAAGATAGGTCTTTGACCATTAAAGATTGATGTTGTTTGGGGTATTATCGATTGATGTGAGAGTGCTACAATCCATGGTAAATAGTGTGTGAAATCTCCATCGTTGGGGATGTGCGGACCAGTAAGGGATACGTTTTCCAACCAAGCATAGCATTCATTACTGTGCCAATAGTTCACATGTGAGTAACATGTTAGGAAAGTATTGTACAAACTATAGCACAGGTCCAGGGGATAGTTTAAATTAAATAAATAAATAAATTTTACCCCTGACGAAGGTGCAGCTATGCACTGAAACGCTTGACAGGAACGAGGTTATCATTTATCTGGTCTTTAACATGGCCATGTGGAAAGCAATCCGCAACATTTTAGCTGAAAAACCGAATTATATAGAACAGCTGTCATTGGCAACGGTATTCCAGATCCTCTCTAACCCTGTATCGGAAACTAATCACCACACACAGTATTAACAACACAATGGGAGGGAGCAGGTTTCAAAATAATGTTTTACCGTTTATTTTAACTTAAGTAAAAGTATTGGGTAATATGTATGAATGGCAGTTTTGCAGTGAGGTACCCAGCTGGAATATTCAGGAGTATTCTATTGGTTTCTATGGTGATTGATTAACAATAAGTTATCAGTTGTATCAGATTCCCAAAACAGCAATGTATTAATAAAAACACAACACATTGTTTAAAAGAGATTTTTAAATGTATTTTAGATAAAATAAATGAATTTGAATTTTTGGCTACATTTTGCATAATACTGATAAAGTAACATTGCATTGATAGGAGCTGTGCGCAGCCTGGGAACTTCACTGCACCCCAATTCCAAAACCATAACTACTTCATATCTACAATTCCCATATGAAAAGTATACATACGCAGTAAAAGAACATACCAATTGCCTCCTCCTACCAGGAAACATATAAACAGGTGACATGTATTGATTGCATGGCACATATATTAAAACGTTTATGTAAGAGCGTGTATCTGTCATGTTATACTGTTGAGCACATGTACCTAAAAGATGTCTGTCCAGATATTGCTAAAAGTTCCATAATCCTAACTCAGACTCTGGTAGGCTATAATCTTGCTAAGAATCATGCTACTTGAGGCCCAGTAATAACTTGACAGTTACTATTGGCTACTCGTGTTGGGCTGACATTTCTCTTTGAAAGAATTCTCCTTAACACTGACATGTCTATGGATTGGGATCTACTGAACTAGTGCACAGCATCAGCACACGGCCCAGTACAGCAAGGAACCGTGAAGGTTTCTCCAAAATAGAATGCAATGCGTAACCCATATTGTAGATACAGGACAACCTTATCGAAAATGTTCAAACATTTCAATGCATGTTTATGATTTTCTCATCCAGAGTGTACATGCTGTGTATACGTCTAAACGTTGTGTGGGATGCAACATGTAAGAGATGCCAATCGGGAGCTAAAGCTAGACGCTATACTTTACTCTTTGGGATGTGCTCCCATTCGTAGTGCAGTTCCAGCTTAACAAAGTCAATCATAAAGAAGAATAGTAGCATCTCATAGAGCAGGCTCCATTACCGAGCATTGTTCATACATGTCAGGACTGGTTACCATACGGAATGACTTCATTTTAACTTCACAGACAGTTGGCCTGACGTTTGCTCACAGGCAACTCAACCTCTGTTTAATTGCCGAGTTGTCCCAGCACATGTTCTAATTCTACATGTGTTTGCAATATTGTTCTCTACGGAAGTAACCATGTGGCAATGCGTATGGACAGGGAGTAAGCAGGTCAACCAGAGAATGATCTGACCATAAGTTCTATCAGTTATCTTGTGACAAATCGTTTCATATCCTTCACATTCCTACTCAATAAGCTCTGCCTCCTCTGATGGGTACCACACCTTTTACAAGATAAACGTGTCTTATAAAGCGATCTTATAAGGCCTAATGTTTTACAGGGATTGTAAATTGCAGCCTTGTAGCTGTAGCAGGGTGCATGTCCCCTCATGCCCAAACTAACTAAATACGGTAGATTACTGTTAACTGGAGTGTTTAATATCATGCTCAATGCATGCAACAATCTTGTTGATAAAGAGTCATACCATTTTAAAAGTCTTCATCATCAAGAAATGGCTTACTTACAGGAGCTGCCCACCACAAGTTAGAGCAGACGTTTGACTTCAGCGGACTTTGAATCTTCTTGTAATCTTTTAAGAGTGAAAAGCCAAGTTTGACTAGATTCCAAGGGTTTTGGGGTTCTATATGTTTTTGACGCTTCTACAAAATCCTGTCTCCACTTCTTGATTAACAGGCATGCATCTTGTTGGCAAATATATCCAAAGTCATGACATTGGGAAAGCGATGAGTAAACTCTTATATCATAATTCACTGAATCCATGATGTTAAGAAGGGGCTCCAACACGCGAGCACTCCATTTAATCAAGAGTAAGAATGTACGTAATACATTAGAATGTCTGTTCCTTATCTTTGGGGGGTGTGGGGGAATCAAGTTTACAACGTAACAGGTAAACTGTTCACGAGCAGTGTTCACAGTGTGGGGCTTAAATGTGAACAAGTCAATTATACACGAGCAGTGTTCACAGTGCTGGTCATAATTACGGTATATTAAACATACTGTTTTATCTCCAGAAATACTATTTTTGTACAGTGAATGTGTGTATTCACAATGTACACATACATTTTGCACAAACATGGGCATATAAACACGCATTCTCCTGGCCCTGTAGTGTTTTCACAAATGGTCATCATATATCTTGTGCTATCGCAATTGCCTTGACCTCTTGAGTTTCTCTCTTTGTTCAGTCTGTGCCATTTCTCTGAGATTGAGGTACCCATACTGCTAGGATTCATTGACATAAAAGCCAAGTTTTGCCACAGACATCTCCTGACGAAGCCTCATGATCTCCCAGAATATTAGCTCCGCTGCAGAAAAAAAAAGTTAAGAAAGTACAAGTTTAATTCATTATTCATTTTTAAAATATTGCAGCGACCAAAACTGTGTAAAGATATTGATTTGTATATATAATTGTAGATAATCTCATAAATGATGACTTTTCAAGGTGAAGGCGGCTAGGATTGGGTACATTTGGTTAAGGTAGGGATCTTTGAGGCCTACAATACCCAGAATTCTTTGAATGCAACAGATGGTCAGACATTCATAGGATTCGTAGTTCAGAGATGTCTGGGGAGACAGATTTTAAGATGCCTGTGGTAAAAAAACACTCCAAGCATCATAACTACTACAGTGCACTGTAGTGGTTATGGTATCAGAAATGCCCTATTGCTTGTCCAATGAAAGTAGTAACCTGACCCTGCACTACTGGACAGGGCTGAGGTCAGGAGAGCAAACGAACTTCTGGCTTTTGTAGAGGCTGGAAAAAGTTGGGGAGCTAGACCCCAGTTAAGAAGGGAAAGCATTACTAAATAATTTGGCTACTAACATTCAGGGGCGTCAGCGCACTTCTGGCAGCACAACCATTAAAGTACGCTGTAGTGGTTATGGTACTTGAACTGGTCCTTTAATATCTGTGGTGGGACCTAGTTTGAAGAACGTGAGCCATTTTGTGAAAAATTAACGTTGCCAATCATATTGATCGAGGTAATGTAAATCACCTTCATTAAATCTGCTTATTTAATTGGATCTATTGAGTATTTTTTTCCCATTTCTTTAAAATTGAGACTCAATTTGAGGACTTTTTGAAAGTTTACCTATTTCCTTGTGGTGCAGGGAAGTGGAGTAATTTGAGAATCAGTTGAGTGTGATTAATATATTAAAGGGTCTAAACTCTAAACACGAAAAACCAATTCACTTTGCTGTGGTAGTTAAGATGCAAGAACCCTGTCCTTCCATTCACAGATTTCAAAACTCATTATGGTTTGAGCTAACGAGCTTTGGAGTGTGTGTCACAGTGTGTCAGGCAGCTAGCCTTATTAGGGAGCTTTATTTCGTGCCGCATGGATTTCAGAATATATAAGAATTGCACAAAAGCATCAAACATTTAACCCATGGGCTACAACATATACCTTTTATGGTACCGAGGAAAACAAAGGATCACTAGATGTTTCTTGTACTTACTGTCCTGGCGCACTAGGCCTTGCTGTATGTAACGAATGTAAGTAAAGAAATTGCACACTGCTGTGATCTGCAAAGGAGATATTGAGAGAGGAGTCAGCAAAGGTGAGTAGATATTGCAAGTGATACCAGGAAGGACTAAAAAGACTATATTTTGTATATAACGGCTATCCACTAAAATAGGATGCCGTAGTAAGTTACAATGTGTCTAAAATCATCACACTTGGAATTATTGGGTAAACCTGAATTTTGGAGAATTGGCAAGACAGTTGTGAAGTAGGCCAAGATGGCCAAATGGAATAAACAGAGGTGGGGGGGGGGGAGTTCTAAGAACATAAATGCCTGTTTCATTATTACAAAATAACTATATATGTCTGTGAATGTAACTTACCCTGTACCGGCAGGATGGCGATATAAAGTAATAGTTCGTAGAATCCCCCAGCTTAATGCGATGTCTGCATGAACGAGACAGACCACTGAGAGCGCACTTCCTACAGAGACGGGATCAGGGAGAAGTTGGAATCATACATCTTGGGACTGAAACCCACGAACGAATTTGGAATGGTCACACACCTCTCATTTACTGTATTTACAACTTCAACCCAAACGCCCAATTCTGTGATCATTTAACTTACTGTATCGTTTGTTCGTGGTACAGTGCTGTGGAATATGTTGGAACTTTATAAATAAAACAATACAATAAACTACCCACTCTCAGCATTATCTACCAAACTGTGAATTGTTGGGAATTCACCAGGCAATGGTTAACATGTACGGCAGGCTGGCGTGGAATAGGAGGGCAATCAGCTGGTACCCCACAGGCTGGGGAGAGGGATGGATGTTTCTCTCTCCCTCCGTTCCCATTATCTCTCTTTACTTCACTTTTTTTCTCTTTTCCCTCACCCCTTTTTCATTTTCTCTTTCTCCTCTTCTTTCACGACCTGTTTCCTGACCTTTCCTGCTCAATTTTCCCTGTTCTTAACTCCATATGTTCTCTTCCTGACACATGAATGTATCTCCCATCGTAAGTGAAGCCTTTAGTTACCCCTCACTGAGTTGTTGTGGTGCTGTGGGAGCTGGGATGAGGGGAGAGGTTCAAGATTCCAATTTGGATTTGTGATGCTAAACATTCTATGTTGTGATAGGCTGAATTTATAGCTAATTCTGTGTGTTTACTTGTTTTAAACCTTTGCTTTCTCAAAAATGCAAACTGCCTATTGTACAACCATTGGTTCCATCTCAAAAATAAAAATGATCATAACACGCAGTTTACCGTTACTTTTTTTCTCCCATGTTACATGCATGTTTATTGTGGTCTTTGGTACCACATTGTTTCTTTTGGGTTTACTCATTAAATTGGGAAAACAAAATTGCAAATTTTAGTCCAAAACTATAAGTTTTAGCTATATTTCCAATTCAGCTATTTTGGTGTAAAATATGAATTTCCATAGTCTTTTCTCCACCATTCACAGTTTAGCGTATAAACCCCGCTGTGTTTTCCTAGGCATGCATATGAATGTGTAGACTTCACAGTTGTCAATGTAGTGATTGTGTTTGTGGTTTGTTATATACACAGGGAGGTCCATTTCTTGGCACATACAGAGAGCAGAACACATTTCATACATTCTCAAAACGGGATCACTAGATCATGCCACATTCTTATTGTAAAAAGCACTGACTAAGGTCAATAATCCAATAAACAAAGTGTTATTCAGTTCCCACAAATTAGTTGTTGCAGCTGTTAGGTTTAAATGCCCTTCAGAAAGCCATTCTTAAGTTAATTCAGCTTGTTAGTTGATTAATTAAGCAGTTCTCCTTATAAAACTTACGTTACAACCTCCACCCGACACCCGCTGAATAGGAGAAACAAAATGGCAAAGGTCATTACACCAATTCTAGCATATAGTATTGGCAAAGCATCGTTTATCTTCTAAATGACCATTTTCCGGATATAGACCTCTCATACAGGCTTTGCATTGAACTGTCACATACTACACACTCCGAAAGGCAGGCCTAATTATTGACCAGTTTTCTAGGGCCATCACTGGATAATAGTATCATAGGGAGGAGTCTGACATCGTTAAAGTGGTTTTTGTTTACCAAATATGTGTATCTTTAGGGTTATGGTGTCAAACAGGGCATGACCTCTCATTGGGTAAGGGGTGGAGTACATGTTATGTGGCCAGAGCCATGCAGGTCAAGGGACAGCTCCCCACCATCTTCAAACTTCACCAACAACCACCGATTTTAGGAAATAATGGGGTGTCTGTGTGTTAGACCGGGAAGGTGGCAATCCTACCTTGGCCCTCCGCGTGCCAAAGCCGATGCTTTCACTACAGGCAGTACCGGCTGCACAACTGGCTCCACAGAAAGAGTGTTATCTTCCACTGCCATCAGGACTTGTTCTGAAAGCTGTGGGTACAGAACAATGCAACGGTTAATGGTAACTTTCCAGACAGTAATCTAAAAAACCTGGGTCACCTAGTAGAGAGTCAACAAGGTTCTGGCGGTGGTATGAATGCGCAATGTGTAATTGTCCGAGAAGATCCCAAGATTCCATTCCATTTATAAATAAAAAGTCATACACGTTAAATAAAAATACACGTCTGCTATAGTATGGACCTGCTTTGTGCGCTGAGTAAAAATTTATTTAATATCATACAGCAATCAAAATCTAAAAAAGTAAAATTAACTACACTGTCCCAATGAAATTATTTGAAAAGGAGGAGAACAGCATTCCTTAACCCCTTAAGGACACAATAAAAGGGAATCATGACCGAATATTTCCGTCATGTGTCGGGGTTAAGATAAAGCGGGGTATAAGCTAGGAGGAATCCTTATAATAGCCTCCAAATTAGCAAACAGTGAATAATGGAGCCGCAGATGAATAAGATTTTATTACACCATTATGAAACCGGCAGCATTTTAACTAATTCACAATGTCAAGCCTAAGCTGGCTCCATTCTGGTGAAATAAAATCTACTTCATTTAATGTACGGTGTTGCAGCTCCATTATTCACTGTTTGATAATTAAATAAATTGAAGTCTTCTGGAAAAGAGTTATTAACGTCCACAAGGCTGTAAATGATTATAAGACAGTTGTCAAAGGCTGCTGGATCTATTGACCAAATCCCAGCACTATTTCGCCTTCCGAAGATAGTGGCAGAGAATACAGATGCTGTGTAGGATTACGGGAGTGGTGGGAGTGGAGAGGTAGGTACAAAGGCAATTAATGTTGTCTGAGACTTTAATAAACATGGCTGTGACAACCTCTACTTTTGCCTCATCTCCCCCCAAAAACCTCAGCCTTCTTTCTTCTGTTAACTCCACCAAGTCTTCTATCTATTTTTATTCTCAATCCAATTCCAGTCTCCATTTATCCCATCCATCTTTCTAGCATTGTAACCTCAACACAACCTTATATTTGTCGTATCAATTTGTCCACAGCCTCATGTCATTCTTTAACCTGCTTAACAGCCACCCAGTTCATTTATTAATCTGATCCCAGCGATAGATAATTTATTAAGCTGCCAGGACTCGATAATTCATTAACTCTTTGTAGAATCTAATAAACCACTTTGTCCAGCCTTCCATAATTCACTGTTCTATCCCGAGCCGAGGTGTGCGCCCAGCCGCCCACGTTTGGTGTTGATGTATGTGTGTGTTGTCGCTTTGTATGTTGTGTCTTTGATGATCAGGAGATACAATTCTCCACATGGACATGGACCTAAACAGGATCTATTATTGCCAACCACAAGTATTGGCTTTGAACACACCATGCCCACAGCTATATCTCTAGATTTCACAGCTCGGGATCCATTCATAGTTGCATAGATACATCGTAATTAGACATTTCACCTACATCTTTGGTGAATTCTGTTTCCCTATTTCATGTATTTATTTAAAATTTGATCTGTTCAAATTCTTTAGAGGCAACTGGCAGATACAGAATAAGTGATTATGATGTATAACCTTTGAACAAATTCTGTTTGTGACAGGTTCCAGGAGTTATTAGATCACTAAAATACAGTGCTTGAAAGGAGGAAACGTAGAGGTAATATTGGGAAATTTGTCTGGTTCCTAAAGCGTTATGAATTCATTGAATGGCCTTGAAGGAAAGGTGGTAGAGAATAATACAGGGGAAAATTCAGGAATAAATGTTGTGCTTTTTGATAGCAAAAATATCATGAGCTGCTTTGTTTTTATCTATACTGAAAAATCATTGTGCTATATCCAAACAATGGCAAAGCCATCAGTAGCTAATCATAGGTGTGTGCACACTACGCTAGGATGGGTACAGAGAGAATATTCCATTTTAGAAATCAGTTTCCCTCTAGTGATAATCAGGTGTATACAGAGATTGTTAGGATTTGTTCAAAAACAAAACAAGCTGACCCAATCTCACGGAGGCGTGCCCACAGAGACCGAAACATATGACAGGGCAGACAATTTATCCCTCCATTATTTAGTGTCTGGGGATACTGGACACTACGTGTTGTTACATTCTAAAGATGGAAATTTTGAAATAATGTAAACCAGAATTTTTATTGGGTGTGAAAGTTTCCAATCCTATCTACACTTACCTCTCTTTTAGCAAAATGTAAACATGGGGCAATGTCTTCGCGATAAATTCTGGAGAGAAAAGCACAGGATTTGTCTAGCGTTGGGCTATCCTTCCAGGCCAGAAACTCAGAGAAAAGCAGCGTGTCCATCTGAAAAAAGTGTGAGATTTTAGAAAGATCAGAGATGTTCCACTTAGTTAACGGAAAGCTGTACAAAACAGATACAGTGTGAGCCATAAGATTAGTCAGTTAATATATGTACAGGTATGCAAAAGTAAGAGTTCTTAATTATCCAAAATATATTTACCAAAACTGTTTACCTTGCCCAACCTTTCCACTTCAACAGTGCTGCTCAGATCAGTAGTTACAATAAAACATCCAGTTTGATCATCCAGATCACACTAAGGCAGAGGTAGACCATTGGAGATGGCTGGGACTACATCTCCCACAATGCTCTATTATTATTATTGCCATTTATACAGCGCCAACAGATTCCGTAGTGCTTTACAATATAGCTACCAAATATGCATCAATCATAGTCCAGAATGGCTGATGGTGTTAAGCCCTCGTCTAATTAAATAATTGACATATTTACATACAGAATTTGAAAGACTTGTTGAACTGAAAACCTGACAGGGAAACTGTGTCAATCAAAAGATTCAGAAACAAAAATGTAATTCTGCGTCTTGTGGGTAGATTTCTATAGGTTCCTACTGATAAACACTAAGTGAATGCAAAAACCAAAAACTTCTAGAATAGGACTTGGCTGTCAAATCTGCCCATCTGTGTGCGTCAGAATCGAGTAGCTATTTCTGTGTATAGATCAGAGAGAATCTTTACATAAACTGTGAGGTCATTTTATTAGGAACACGTGTTAAGGCATTGCACAATGATTCCTGTGATTAAATCAACGCACAAGGCTTTAGCTAGAACAGAAGCTGGAGCGTGTCACAGAAGCAACCAAATGCACAAACATGAGCGAACTCTGCATACACAACACAATGCACCAAACACAACACAATTCACCAAATACAACACAATGCACCAAACACAACACAATGTTATAATTAGTAACACATGAGACTTGGAGGTTGCATACAGTTTAAGAATCCCTGCCTTGAAACATATGTGAGCCCTGTTGTGGGCTGAAATGTTGTTTCGATTTTGCTCCAATAAATCTGCCCACTGGATTGAACTTGAGTGTCTGGACCATAATTACTTTTCTGCCACATTCCTAGTCCTCTCCCGCAGTCTCTGCCACATTCCTAGTCCTCTCCCGCAGTCTCTGCCACATTCCTAGTCCTCTCCCGCAGTCTCTGCCACATTCCTAGTCCTCTCCCGCAGTCTCCGCCACATTCCTAGTCCTCTCCTGCAGTCTCTGCCACATTCCTAGACCTCTCCCGCAGTCTCTGCCACATTCATAGTCCTCTCCTGCAGTCTCTGCCACATTCATAGTCCTCTCCCGCAGTCCCCGCCACATTCCTAGTCCTCTCCCGCAGTCTCTGCCACATTCCTAGTCCTCTCCCGCAGTCTCCGCCACATTCCTAGTCCTCTCCTGCAGTCTCTGCCACATTCCTAGACCTCTCCCGCAGTCTCTGCCACATTCCTAGTCCTCTCCTGCAGTCTCTGCCACATTCCTAGTCCTCTCCCACAGTCTCTGCCACATTCCTAGTCCTCTCCCGCAGTCTCTGCCACATTCCTAGTCCTCCTCTGCAGTCTCTGCCACATTCCTAGTCCTCTCCTGCAGTCTCTGCCATATTCCTAGTCCTCTTCTGCAGTCTCTGCCAAATTCCTAGTCCTCTCCTGCAGTCCCTGCCACATTCCTAGTCCTCTCCTGCAGTCCCTGCCACATTCCTAGTCCTCTCCTGCAGTCTCTGCCACATTCATAGTCCTCTCCTGCAGTCCCTGCCAAAGTTCCTAGTCATCTCCTACAGTCCCTGCCACATTCATATTCCTCTCCTGCAGTCCCTGTCACATTCCTAGTCCTCTCCTGCAGTCTCTGCCACATTCATAGTCCTCTCCCGCAGTCCCCGCCACATTCCTAGTCCTCTCCCGCAGTCTCTGCCACATTCCTAGTCCTCTCCTGCAGTCCCCGCCACATTCCTAGTCCTCTCCTGCAGTCCCTGTCACATTCATAGTCCTCTCCTGCAGTCTCTGCCAAATTCCTTGTCTTCTCCTGTAGAGTCCCAGTGCAATTTACTAGTTCACCATGGCTAAGTCTCAGTCAGGTTCCTAGCCCACAACTGACATGCACCAGCCACTTGCCTAGCCATGATCCAGCCCCTTTCCTAGTTTCTTGTTATGTGTTTGTAGCGTGTAGGTGATTTGAGTACAGACTGCACATTGTGGTTAATTGGCACTACCAGTTCCCTTAAAAAGTTCCTAGTCAAGTCCAAATTATTTATTCCTGTGTATTTTTTTTATTTGCAGTATAAAAATATCAAAAAACATGAAGTGACAATTAGCATAAAACACAAATGCACACAGAAAATGAAAAGACACAATTAAAAAAATAAAAATAAAAAAATATTACAGTAATCGCATAAATAATCACAATATGTAGTTTCTACCAAACCATCAACCTCTGCCAGGAGGTAAGCGGAGAAACAATAACTAGGCCTAGGTGAGTCGAATAAAACAATTCCCGTTTGTCAACTCAAGGAACCAAACCAATCCATTGGTCCAGCAGCGATAACGATCCACAAGAAGGTACCAAATATGATATTAAGATACAGGTAGTCCAGGTAGAGGAAGGCAGGTGAATAGTAGTCCCAAACAGAGACACGCACAGACTAAATGTTTGCCTCCCTTATCTTGGTGGGCTGTTGCTCTATTCACACTTACTATAATGTCTCTTTAGGGGGCATTGACGCGGTATGACTTCTTACCTGGGTCCATACGGTGTCACTCTCCACTTCAGAAGCCAGAGAGCCATGATCTCTGGCAGTGCAGGGCTTAGCTCATTGGCTGACAGCCATCAGCAGTTGCTTCAATGAGCTAGCCCTGTACTGCAGAGCTTAGCCTGGGAGAACTAGCGGAAGCTCCTTAGCAGGAGTCTCCAGCTCTCTGGTTGAGGTCGAGTTGCACCAGATGGACTCCATTCTTTGAACGTTCCTTCAAAGTGGAATGCAATTCTTGCAATAGAGAAACAATGAAAACAAAGCTTCTTCATAAGAAACAGTGGATCGGTGGAGCCATGCATGTGCTATAGGTCCTCCGTGATTTTCTATGAGAAGCTTTGGATTGAACTTGAGATCATCAATCAGGATGGTCTCAACGTGGACCAATCACCCTGTATTAAGGGGACTGTCCCTGTGACGTCACAATACGTTGGAGTTTATTTTATTTTATGACTTAAATAGCAGGGACTCTAAACCTAAAACAAAAAAGGACACCCCAATGATAAAAATAAATATATTAATTTTTACAGCTGCATGATTCCTCTTTAACTGCTCAAAAGACAGAAAAGAAACTGAAAAAAACATATGCATTCTCTCCATTAATCAAACTCTCGGCAAATAAATAAAAAAGGTATCTTCAGTCCATATAGGAGATCAACCACATATCTATATATACAATGTATGACTTGAGGGTGGCAATCAGCCATTATGTCATTTATAGTAATCGATCAGAATAAGGAAATGAAAAACACTTTGTGGATGGGAAGTGGTACCTGGCGGGAGAAGGAAGAGGAGTCATCAGAGGGAGGCCATCCTGGCTCGTAGGTTATATGGACAACCTTCCCCGGGACAATACAAAGAAGCAGTGAGAGGAGAGAAGGTACTGCAGAGAACTGAGAGAAGGAAAGATAGCAGAAGAAATACAGAGAAAGAGTGAGAGACACAACGACATTAGGACGACAAACAAAGAAAACAGGAATGAGAGTGAAACAAGATAATGTAACAAAAGAATGATAAATTAATTTAGTAACAGAGGATGATCATGCACAAAGTGGTAGAACAAAATAGAAGCGGTTACAAAGTAGTAAAAAGATGTAAAGAGGTCTCCTCCAGTGGTTCATGGACTTTTATATTCAAGTTGACAAGAGAGTGTCAGTAAGTCGTCAGCACTGTCAGCAACAGTGTGGGTTAAATAGAGGACAAAGACTAAAAAGGATCCGAGACAGAGGTAGCCAACCTTCTGCACTCCACATGTTGTGGACTACATGTCCCATAATGCTTTTAAAGTCATAATGCTAGCAAAGCATCAGAGGACATGTAGTCTGTAACTTCTGGAGTGCCGAAGGTTGTCTACATCTGATAAGACAGCTAAAAGGTCGATGGATCTGAAGATAGAAGAAACATGACCAAACAGGAATCAGAAATTGTATTTTAAATGTTACATAAACAATGTGGGATATTTATATTTTAAAATATTTACAAAATGCTGGTTAAAAAGACTCTATAGGCACCTAGACCACTTCAGCTCATTGAAATGTTCTGGGTGCAGTGTTCCAGGTCCCTTAACACTGCAACGGTAATTATTGCGGTATTTATTATTATTAATAATAATAATAATAATAATAATCATCATTTTTTATGGGTTAACTCCACTTCTAGTGGCTGTCTACTAGACAGACACTAAAGAAACTTAAAGGTCAAGGGATATCGGCGCAGGTTCGGGCGCTGCACCTCCCCTGCTAGACTCGGGTAAGTGACAACGTTTTTTTAACCTCGGGTGCGAGAGGGAGAGGCGCCTTGACGGAGGGAGGCACTATAGGGAGATATACTGCCAGAAAAACAACTTTATTCTCCTGGCACTAAAGTTTCCCTATGCTCTCCCTGTTATTCTAGAGATTGTTTGACGTAAACTGAAATATAAGCTCAGTTTAAAACACAGCCAAAGCACAGGGACAGGAGACGATACTCTTAGTGAAATTATTAGTGATATTATTCTGCCACAGATCTTTTACATTTGTGACATGGAACTAATGAGGCTTGTATGTCAGAGAACATCAGAGAAAATATTTCATAATCATTCAGGAGAAAGGAGACAGAAGGTTCTAAAACACTACGAATTTGCAGAGATGGAAATATAAGGGCGCATGTTGTTACTGACTCATAGAGGACAGATAAACAAAAAGGTGTAAATAAACAAGGGGATAAAAATAATCATGTGAATACAGAGAGAATGGAGTAAAGAGAGACAGAGACAATGGAAAAATGACCACAAATCGGAGACAGAATGAGAGAGACAGACAAGAACATAGATGAGACATTAGAATCTTCTTCCAGAATCCCCACACAGTTACACCATTTATCTGATGCATCCAGCGCCTACATTTAGTGTAAGAAATTGTAAACATCTAACATTAATTATCTGTGTGGCTCTCTTTCCTGTAGGTGGTTTGAAATGATGATCATTTCACAAAATGCTAGATGTATTACAGTACTTTGTGCACATCAGTAACAATGCTCAAATACATAATAGATGAGAATTTAAACACAGCTTTTTCTCGTGAACAGTTGCCTGTACGACCTGGGCTCTTTTGTGATAATGCAAAGTGCAGACAGAGCACATGATGTGCCGTAACATATTATGTACACACATTTAGTGCTATGCATCAAGAGAAAGTGCATCTTACATTTGCATTAAGCATTATTTACTGCACCAATAATTTGGTGCAGTGGGTCATAAGGCTTCATGGAAATGTCAGGTTACTATCTAATTAGGTATTATGGCAATATTGATTTTACTACAATTAAGGTGGGAAGCATCACAGAGCACATTAGAATCCACTGGTGGTGGGAAGGAGCACATTAAAATCCATTGATGGTGGGCAGGAGCACAGACCATGTTAGAATTTAATGATGGTGACAAGGAGCACAGGAGCACAGCAAAACCCACTGGTGATTGGAAGGAAAACATTAAAACCCCATTGATGGTGAAGGAGCACATTAGAGCCCATTGCTGGTGAGAAGGAGCACAGTGCATATTAGAAGCACTGGTGGTGGTAAGGAGCACTTTAGAACACATAGCTGGTGGGAAGGAGAACATTAGAACCCATTGATGGTGGGAAGGAGCACGGTGCACATTAGAACCCATTGATGGTGGGAAGGAGCACTTTAGAACCCACTGACTGTGGAAAGGAGCACATTAGAACCCAGTGATGGTGGGGAGGAGCATATTAGAACCTTTTGATGGTGGGAAGGAGCACAGTGCACATTAGAACCCACTAGTGGTGGGAAGGAGCACTTTAGAACCCATTGCTGGTGGGAAGGAGCACATTAGAACCCATTGCTGGTGGGAAGGAGCACAGAGCACATTAGAACCCACTGGTGATGGTTGTAAGGAGCTCACCTCTTTGGCCTCTTTGCATATTGGCTGAGTTGGCACAGCTACTGGTGTAACAGCAGCACAGCCTGTGCTCTTGTTCCGTGAATGGCCTTTGCGTAGTGCATTCTTGGATGGGCTCTGGAGCTGAGGGTGCAGGTCACGGTTTGGAGAGGAGGGGGTGGAAGTAATGACCAAAGTCTTCAGAGCGGTGACTTCTGCCTGCAACATGTCAATCTACAAAGGAGGAGACTATATTTAAAAGAAGAAAAACAACCACAACAAGAGGACATAGTCTTAAATTAGAGGGACAAAGGTTTAAAAATAATATCAGGAAGTATTACTTTACTGAGAGGGTAGTGGATGCATGGAATAGCCTTCCAGCTGAAGTGGTAGAGGTTAACACAGTAAAGGAGTTTAAGCATGCGTGGGATAGGCATAAGACTATCCTAACTATAAGATAAGGCCAAGGACTAATGAAAGTATTTAGAAAATTGGGCAGACTAGATGGGCCGAATGGTTCTTATCTGCTGTCACATTCTATGTTTCTATGTTATAAAAAGAGGAAAAAAAGGAATGAAAGAAGGCAATGTGGAAAAAGGACATTCGCTTAGTGAAAAATGCAAAACAAATGTTGTTTCAATAAGCTGTTGACTCCTCCAGTAACAGAAAACCAATTTACATTCAGAATAAAGAGAGACGGCTTACCTTTCCACAAGCTTCCTGCAACTGCTTCTCTGATGCAGCCTGCTTGGTGTTGGCTTCTCGCACCATCTTGTGAGCCTCCTGTGAATACACAAGTCAGTGGTGATTGCACACTCAGTGACCTAACTCACTGCTTAGCTGTTACAGTTACCACATGTTACAGGTGTTATGCAAAGGATTCTGGGAGAAAGCCCCACTATACTCTGATACAGCGGAATGGCCAAAATGTTGTTGGGTTTGCTCTCAGAATCCATTGAAGAGGACAATTCTAACAGTGTTTTGTTTATCATTCAAACAATATATTGGATGTGTTGAATGTAAAATATGAAAGTGTTACTACTCTATTTATGTCAAAGACTGGAGTGTTCTCGTGTACCATGAGCTTGTTTTTTTTAAATACAACTCTACCTTAATGAAGCAGTTTTGGTGTCTAGATCCTGCTTCTGACGTTTCGCTGCCCAATTATCTGCCATGTAGGAGTTAAATCACTTTGTTTCTGTTTATGCAGCCCTAGCCACACCTCCCCTGGCTATGACTGACACAGCCTGCATGAAAAAATGGTTTCATTTTCAATCAGATGTAACTTACTTTATAAGTTTTTATCTGCTGCTCTGTAAATCGAACTTTAATTACATACAGGATGCTTCTGCAAGGTCTAGCAGGCTATTAATAGAGCAGGAGTGTTGTATGGCATGTTGGTGTTATAGAATTAATCCAATGCTATATTTTTCCAGACACACTCACTCTACATATGCAGTATGGCCAGAATTACCTCAAACAAGCTGGCTGTCAGCTCTTCCAACTCCTGTTCCAGCTGCTCTCTGACTTTAGAAAGTCTCTCACACTCCTCATCTCTCAGCTTCAGTTCCTGGTCGAAAACAATGTGTCACAATATGGAAAGAACGGAACACAGATTGTGTGCGCAGGTAAGAACCCATATAGTCTGACCATTATAACATCTCATACAAGCGTTATTACATGTGTTCTTCCAGATAACCTCGAGCACATCTCAAACATAGCTCAATTCACTTACAGTGTTTGCTTCATTCACTGAAAAGCTACTCCATGTACCTACTACCCTCTCAGTAAAGTAGTGTTTGAGACAAGACCGCACTACTCTGCAACTATTATTTCAATATTTTATGAATAATACGTCAAATAAAACAGATGGTACCTGCTAGGATACATTACTGGCTATATATCTTGACTGCAGTAGGTTGTAATGCCCCACGGATACAAAGTGGCAGGGACACTACATATATTTAAAGGAACGTGTGCCATCCTAATTTTGAAAGGCACACCAGACCATTTATATGCACGAGCATTTGAATGAAACTTGTTTTTCTAATCTGCTCTTGTTCTCGTATCACACTGCAATGGAGTGGTTAAAGGGTTAAACGACTCTGACAACCCAATTATTTACTATAATGATAAGCAGCCTAACTCGTTTATCTGTACCAACACACATGTCCACACCCAATCCAGAAAGAGAAAAACTGAAATATGTAAAAAGGCATTTCTTCTGCAGTGGGTATGGTGGTACTGTGTAGATGGTGGTGTATACTAATACATAATTCATAAGTCAGACAGTAACATATGTACATAAATTACACCAACGTCTTCTGGTTCTAGGATATTATGGGTCTTGTAGCCAATGTCACTCCCCTGCCAGATACCTGGCAGTCAAGTTATTATATTGTGGGCACAAACTGGAGGAGCCACTGCTCATACATGTAGATATATTATTTATAACATTTCAGACAATAGAAAATACCAGCAGGTGCATGCCAAAAGCACAAGCATCAATTCAATTACTCATCCCAAAAAATGGACTGGAATGGAAAATATGCACAAAAATATTATATGGAAAACATGCAGAAGGTCAAAAGTTTTCAAAAGGAGAAATAAAACAATTTAAAGGGGCACTCAATGCACCATAACTACAGCTTTTAGTTATTATGGAGAAAGAAGTCTTTGGGTGCAGCAGTTCCTGCTTTTATCCAGAGGTTTTGTAGCCAAAGTTATTAAGCCAAAGTGGTTATGGTGCTTCCAGCATCACTTTAAATGTAAATGCATGTTAAACACCTACATTTGTATCATGTTTGCAAAACCTTTTATTAATTATCTTGACCGAAAAAAAAAAAAAAAAAAATCAAACTCTCCAGCTTATTTTCTAAATCAGCATCGAATCACTTAACCTCGCAGGACCAGAGGACATAATAACCGGCTCTCCCCCTCACTCTGCACCCGCCCTCCTTTTTAATGTGTTTTTCAGTTCGAATGTTAGGTTCTCACTGTTTACAATTTAACTCCTATATTTAACTGCTTGAAGTTTAGGCTGGCCGGCCGCCTTTTCCCTATAATATTCTGTGCTGGTTGTTAACTTGTACTGAACGTGGGGGGCGTGGCCTAACCACTGAAGCGGACGGCCGCAGGATTGCTGAGCTCCAGGCCTGAAACCGCCAAAACCCACTAAAAACACCCACAATCGGGTCAAATCCAACCCAGACGGACCCAAACGTTTAGGCAAACGCGATGGGGCGAAAGACAAAGAAGTTAAAGCCTGAAAAACTCCACCCGGGCACACATATTGGCGAGCTGTGGCGGAAGGCCCAAGAAGCCTCTATCCCTAACATGGCGTCCCTCCATGGCGGATGCTCAGACTTCTACAGTGAATCTTCGGATGACGCAGAAGGGGAGCCCCTACAAGCCAACCCCAAACTACCACTGAATCGAACACAGCCCCCACCACCCGCCGCAACCCCTACCCCGGTGAGCATGGAGGCCATCAGAGAATTAATGGCAGACCACCATAAAAAAATATCAGCGGATGTGGCCTCAATTCTGGACACGCTGCAGGGCCTCAATGGACGACTTGGAGCTGTGGAACACACCACGCAAGCCCAAGACACACATATCAAGGAGCTACAGCAAGAGATACTGGCGCTGAGGAACCTGTCTAAACAAAATGACTTACGATTTGCTGAGCTGGAAGATAAACGTCGGCTGAAGCATCTCAAGATCAGAGGAATAACAGATGCTGTGACGGACTCTGAACTGCCCCATTTCGTGCGGCGGCTCCTCACGGTAATGCTAAACCCAAAGCAAGCCAAAGCAGTGATACTGGATGAAATATTCCGTATCCCAAAACCCGCTAAAGCTCCAGACGCAGCCACCCGTGATGTGATCCTGCAGTTTCAAGCCCAAAGAGATAGATCCGCAGTCCTGGCCGTGGCCAGGCTCCAACAGACCTACCCCTTCGAAGGTATGAACCTAATGTTTTATGCGGACCTCTCGGGAGCCACTTTAGCCTGGAGGAGATCCCTGCAACAATTGACATCACTTCTGCGTGAGAAACATGTCACATACCGCTGGGGCCCAGCTCACACCCTGACGGTAACAAAAGGCGAAGATACGCCCAAAATTCACTGCATACAAGAGGCACCGATGATCCTGGGGCTGCTCGGCCTCCCCCCGAACGCATTGACCCAGCCAGCACCTAAGGACAGACCTCGGAACCCCCCAAGTTGGGAAACGGCTAGCGCTGCTGAATTTGTCCCCAGACGACAGAAAGAATCACCCACCGTCACTGCCACAACCTGAAAGTCAATTCTGGACTGTGTGAGTTACCGGGACATTGCCCCACCATCAGGCATATTATGTACAGGGACGGCCATGCACAACCCCAACCCACACTGCTGAACAACCCAATCGTTTCCACCCCACCATTATGTTTAGCACTATGACTTAAACTATTTTCCCTTTCCTTGTTATTTTCTCTCGAACACCATAGTGTGCTTCTGGTTTCACACCAACCAGTTAAATCTGACGCCAGGCATGTTCACTCACCTCTTAGTACACTCGATATTACCTTGCCAAATTATAACAATATACATTGTTTATTCCTGATACGACACTGTTTGTGCCCATAGACCTGTGGTCGCGAATGAGGCACTATGGAATTATATGTACTATGCATAGCATAACAAAAACTAAGTCTTAAAGGAGGGAAAAGATAAGACATAAAAGGAGGAGAGGAGGAGGGGAAAGGGGGGAAAAATCTAGGTGTTAAGGTGTATTAGACTGTTCACACCCGAGTTCTGTTGGCTTCCTAGTTTATCTTATTTTATTACTCTATTTCATCACCTAGTACTTCAACTATCAAACGTAGTCTCTGTTACAAACTCGCTTATTAGACACTATTTATGTTAAGCTTGATCTCCCCGCTGACATAACCATAAGAAATGAACGCTGAGTATCCACCTCAGCATCCTTACAGGTGATTATTCTGTGTATAACTTAACCAGAGACCGCTTAGGTCAAGAAATGCCAGATTGTTTATTTCCCCTTATTTTTTTTTATTTTTTTTTTTATTTTATTTTTTTTATTTTTTTTTATTTCTCTTCTCCTAATGCTAACGAGGACATGGTATGTCCCTTTCTGTTTGGTGGTATATTACTTTCCTTTTATATTTTCCTTTAACACTTAACTTAATTTACATTTAATTGCACTTAACTTAGCCAAACTTTATTATTTTCTATCAAGTCAGTAAGTCAACCAGTATTAACGCCTGTACTTATAGCTTTAACTGACACGCAAGACCAAAACTCATAAATATAACTTCGCCTACAAACTACAACTTAACTTTAACTAATATGCCGATATCTCCACGTTACTAATGTATCAACGCTGTGTTTATACTTCCTGACTTTACCATTGTGACAAAGACAAACGTTCAGCACATCTCAAGCGTCGCTCACTCATTGCTTATATTTTCTTTTATAAAACTAAAAATGTGCTGTATAGTCATATGCCACGTTATGTTTCAACTGTATATTACTGCTTGTGACTGCTGTTGTGGCTGAACAAGCCTATTGTTAATCCATGCACATCAAAAATAAAGAATTTTAAAAAAAAAAAACAAAAAAAAAAACTTGTAGTGAACGTTCGACGCTCTGCACCATTTGTCGAGATATAATCAGACAGCTTCTGTCAACCGCACTTTTAATAACAAAATGAAAATTGTTTGAACATAACGTAAGTGCCTCCAAAGAGGGTTTTGGAAGTGTTTGTGGAAATTTCAGTAAAGTGCTCAACTTAGAGAAATCAAAAATATTGCTCTTGTAGAAGGATACATTTATCTTTAAGTTTAATAAATAATAGTACTTTTCCTGGCAATATTGTCAGGTGGATGTTGAAGACGTTTGGTTATGTCCACAGGTTGCCCCTTTTGTGGAAACACAAGTCCAATTCCCCAGACGTTAGCCAAGGTGTGACTAACTGAGTAAAGCACGGTATGGCATTTAATGCGATTATTATAAGAAGTATTGATGTTAGAAGATTAAACATACTTTCTGGGCCTTTAGCAGCTCCTCTCTGAGGATTTCTGAACCTTTCTCTCTGATTTCCACTGACGAACTGCGCAAACGAGAGAGGTCATACGCAGGGGTCTCTCCAGATTTCTCTGTGGAGGGTCTCGAAGAGTCAGACTTTGGAAGAGAGGGCCACTCGTCAAAGGCTGGGGAGCGGCGGAGCTGGGGGCCCCCATCCAGAAGAGGAGCCTGTCTGTAATTAACCACATGAAAATATAGTATTAAATTAGCTTTATATACCGGTACCCACATAATCCGCACCTACCCTGTACTTTGAGTAAGGTAAATTGTAGGAGATAGGTGGTCCTTCTTGCAATGACTGTAAAATAAAAGGTCAGCATATTGTATTCCCCCCAGACTGTATGTGACAGAACCCTGAGGAAGTTTTATATAAATAAACTGTTTCCTGACATTCTCCCAGCCTGAGACTTACCCAAAGTGTGAGAGATACATAATCAACCACAAATGTACTGCACCCTATAACCATCACCCCTGCCGCTCTCCTCACAATTTATCCTAGATCATTACTTTTATTCCTATAATACTCATCATGCATGACAAATCATTACTATACCACATTCCCTCAATCCCCCATTTAACATTGAGAACTTCAGGTAGCCAACCATTCATCCTAAATTATTGCTAGTTTTCCCCTCTCGATCTACCACAACCATCTATTTAAAATTGGTTTCATTCTTCATTCCAGCATTGCTTATTATAAAATCCATGATTTATCTGTGTACCTCAAGTCATGAATTACCATAATGTGTCCCTATCCACAACTACCATCATTGACCCAAAATATTACTCCTATTGAGCCCGCTCTCCTTCCCCTCACCATTCATTCACAATAGTTTCTGTTTACCCCTCCCTATCCAACTATTCATTTAAACTAAATGCTATATTCCCGCACTTCCTCATCTCCCACACATTCTTCTAAAACACTGCCTACGCCTTTCCTACACCCCCTGTTTATTCAAAATGATTACTATTTAATCCCTTTCACACACCTTTTATGAAAATCTACTATATATCTATATCCTGGCTTCTTCTACAGCCATTTCCCCAAATTGATTATTATTTAAGTTCCCTGGCTGGCCTATCATTTATTCAACATTGCACTATTAACCCCTCGCTCTATCCCCCTCCATTCATAAAAATGATTCATATTTAACTCCAGCGTAAATAAAATATATTAATATTAAGATTCTATCTCTGCCAACTGAATTATTACTATTAAACCCCTTAATCACTCCGTACATTGAAATACAATACTTTAAGTGACACTATTTATAAATCTCACAGCCCATCCACCTGAATTAGTCCCACCACCGGATATCGCCTCAAAATGTTCACAAGATTAACTTAATATTAGCAACAATAAATTCAATGATCTTTACTCCCAAACTCCTTAGTAAATCCTCCCCTCAGATTATGGCTGGGGGGACAAATCGCATTTATTATATTAGACAGTATTTGCCCTGACCCCGTGTTAGGGTTATATTCCCTAAATTGTGAATTATCTTTCTGCACTTCAAAGTGAATTTAAATTTTACTGTAAAATAGCCAAACTGAAAAGTAAGGGGTTGGTTTCTATCAATTCAGCTAGTCTGGCCTTGAAATGTGAGTTTCACACTGAATTCAATTCTCACTTTACTAAATAACAGTCACCAACCATCACTAACACACACACACAGGCAGAATTAGTGTCACTGTCACACAGGCAGAGTTAGTGGCACTGTCACACATACAGAATTACTGCCACAGAGGCAGAATTAGTGTCACTGTCACACGGGCAGAATTAGTGTCACTGTCACACGGGCAGAATTACCTTCACTGTCACAGAGGCAGTATTAGTGTCACTGTCACACAGGCAGTATTACTGTCACTGTCACACAGGTAGAATTACTGTCACTGTCACAGAGGCAGAATTACTGTCACAGAAGCAGAATTACCGTCACTATCACAGAGGCAGAATTACCGTCACTGTCACACAGGCAGAATTAGTGTCACCGTCACACAGGCAGAATTACTGTCACTGTTACAGAGGCAGAATTAGTGTTACTGTCACACGGGCAGAATTACCTTCACTGTCACAGAGGCAGTATTAGTGTCACTGTCACACAGGCAGTATTACTATCACTGTCACACAGGTAGAATTACTGTCACTGTCACAGAGGCAGAATTACCGTCACTATCACAGAGGCAGAATTACCGTCACTGTCACACAGGCAGAATTAGTGTCACTGTCACACATACAGAATTACTGTCACAGGCAGAATTAGTGTCACTGTCACACAGGCAGAATTAGTGTCACTGTCACACAGGCAGAATTACCGTCACTGTCACAGAGGCAGTATTACTGTCACTGTCACAGAGGCAGAATTAGTGTCACACAGGCAGTATTACTGTCACTGTCACAGAGGCAGAATTACTGTCACAGAAGCAGAATTACCGTCACTATCACAGAGGCAGAATTATTTTCACTGTCACACAGGCAGAATTAGTGTCACACAGGCAGAATTAGTGTCACTGTCACACAGGCAGAGTTACTGTCATTGTCACACAGGCAGAATTACCGTCAGTGTTACAGAGGCAGATACCGTCACTGTCACACATACAGAATTACTGTCACAGAGGCAGAATTAGTGTCACTGTCACACAGGCAGAATTAGTGTCACTGTCACACAGGCAGAATTACCGTCACTGTCACAGAGGCAGAATTAGTGTCACTGTCACACAGGCAGAATTACTGTCACACAGGCAGAATTAGTGTCACTGTCACACATGCAGAGTTACTGTCATTGTCACACAGGCAGAATTACCGTCACTGTCACACAGGCAGAATTAGAGTCACTGTCACACAGCCAGAATTACCGTCACTGTCACACAGGCAGAATTACTGTCACAGAGGCAGAATTACCGTCACTATCACACAGGCAGAATTACCGTCACTGTCACACAGGCAGAATTAGTGGCACTGTCACACATACAGAATTACTGTCACAGAGGCAGAATTAGTGTCACTGTCACAAAGTCAGAATTACCGTCACTGTCACAGAGGCAGTATTAGTGTCACTGTCACACAGGCAGTATTACTGTCGCTGTCACACAGGCAGAATTACTGTCACAGAAGCAGAATTACCGTCACTATCACAGAGGCAGAATTACTGTCACTGTCACACAGGTAGAATTAGTGTCACACAGGCAGTATTACTGTCACACAGGCAGAATTAGTGTCACTGTCACAGAGGCAGAGTTACTGTCATTGTCACACAGGCAGAATTACCGTCACTGTTACAGAGGCAGAATTACAGTCACTGTCACACAGGCAGAATTAGTGTCACACAGGCAGAGTTACTGTCACTGTCACACATACAGAATTACCGTCACTGTCACAGAGGCAGAATAAGTGTCACTGTCACAGAGGCAGAATTACTGTCACTGTCACAGAGGCAGAATTAGTGTCACTGTCACACATACAGAATTACTGTCACTGTCACAGAGGCAGAATTAGTGTCACAGAGGCAGAGTTACTGTCACTGTCACACAGGCAGAATTAGTGTCACAGAGGCAGAATTAGTGTCACAGAGGCAGAGTTAGTGTCACTGTCACACAGGCAGAATTACTGTCACAGAGGCAGAATTAGTGTCACTGTCAGCATTCACAAAGAGAGTCAGGGTTTATCGCGCTATACAGCGCACTCCTCTCGATTTACTAAGATAATAGGAGAAAACTTCGCTCTTACCCTGCTTCCCACATCCCACCAGCACTCTCTCTCCTCCTGGCAGTCTCAGAGAAAAGGCATCCAGGGCTGTCTAGTGAGAGATTCCATGTCAGAGTGTCTCCGCATTCTAATCCCAGTAACAATGTATCACTTCCTCTCTCTCACCCCCCACGCTGCCGCATGCAGAGGAAACACTTCCAGCTGCAGGGGGGGGAGGGGGGCAGGAGGAAGAGAGAGCTGGGGAGGAAAGTGGGTGAGAATAAGGAAATGACAGTCTCACTCTGGGATTGGGGGGGTTACAATGCCCATAGAGCTCTATTACTGGGGGTCTGTGTGTATTCACATATAATGTGCACAGCTGTATACTCAGTGTCTCAGTGTGTGCATGCCCCCCCAGCCCCCCCTTACACATAGCTGTGATCACATGACCTCCATCTGTTTCCCATTGAAGGATAACACAGACCTGGGTCATGTGACTGTCATGTGATATACACAGTAAATAGAATTATCCTTAATATTTTATTATCTGAGAAGGGGATTGAATGGCTTGAACAAACATTACATACAAACAGGCTGTGTTCACTGACTGAAACATGGGACATGGTTTCTATCTATTGGGTTTATTCAATCCATTATCCTCAGACAGATTGAACTTTAGTTTATAAACTGTCTCATATTATAAAAATAGTCATAATTATATATTGTAAATGTGGCATTGACAGCAATAAATAACATTTTATTTACAGTTTGCTAAAAAAAAAATACAACAGCTGGTTATAAATTATTTACAAGCTCTTAAGGAATTGGCTTTGCAGTAAATAGCAAGTGCTGCCCTGTGTGTTTGTTGCAAAGGATCCATACTGTAAATATGATTTTTGTTTGTAAATAAGAGAGCAACATTTACATTTTCAGCGGTCCAACACATGCTTCATTTTGTGCTATTGCTACAGATGCTTTAAATGATTCAGCTACTGCATATGTTTTGTGTCTTCTATGTCTCACATTATATGTGTTCTTTGTAAATTGTGGTATATAGCCTGGATCAGAGCTCATGGACAAAGGTTTTTACCTGTGTTACAAAGGCTCTTGGAGACTGACCGGTCTAAAGGTTTGCCATGCCTTAAAACATGGTATTGCATAAATTTTTTAAGTCTCTGAGAGTTCTGAAAGATTCGGGTGAAACCATGTCTGTGTAATCTGGTCCAGATGTTTGCAAAATTTCTGTAAGATTTAAAATTGATGCAGCATCATCTCAGATTAGTTAATGGACCTTTCAGACAAATATTTGAGTTATGAGCGCGCTATATAAATGGATCCTTTCTTTATATACAATACTATAGTAGATTAAAGTAATGACGTTAATTAGAAAAAAAA